AGGTGGCACAATAAGGATCACTCAAGGCTTGGGAGCTGCCATATTAAAGAAAAGGAAAATCAATACCATATTCCAAAAGACGAAAGGATACTAAACTAAGTTTAGTACTACTGGTGGGGAGGAGAGGAGGAAGGAGGGATTGGATCTTTAATAGAATAAGAATTCTTGATGAAAAGGCTAGAACTGGAAAGATATATTGAAATTGAAATATAGACACCAACAGAGATACAGAAAGGTACATATATTTAATTAAAAGAGTTTAATTAAAAGTGAGGATTATTTACATATTAATGGGTGATAAGAAACAAATGTCTTCTCAAAATTCTAATATCTTTAAGGGTCATAGAGAAAGGATAAAACAATAGAGGGTTTGTTCCCTTTATCGGTGGTTTTGTTGCATTATATTAGGCTCAGAAGACAAAAATGGGAGGTACGGGGGACTATACTTGGAAAAAAGAGGAGAAGAAGAGGAAGGAAATCACTGTTGCATAATTGAGGCACATAAGATGAAGAATGCAGGGCATTCTACGAACCTCATTTTCAACTAGATAAGATCACAAGTTATCAGATAAACTCCCTCTTTTACCAACTCATTTTTAAAAAAAGTGAGGTGGGAGCAGATGAAAAAGTATTAGAGAACAGGATGGAGGGAAATACAATTAGGAATCATAACTGTAAATGTGGATGGGATGAATTCATGCATAAAATTGAAGATGACAGAATGGACCTGAAAGTAGAACCTGAGAATATATTGTTTACTTGAAACACATAGATTCACATCCAGGTAAAATGAAAGACTGGAGCAAACCCTTTTATGCTTTAGCTGAACTGAGAAATCAATGGAAGCAATTATGATTTCAGATAGGGCTACCAGTAAATATAGGCATGATAAAGAGATAAGCAGCTAGTCAGTCAATAAAAACTTATTAAGCTTCTATTATGTGCTAGGCAGTGGGGATATAGAAAGAGGCAAAAGACAGTCCTTGCTCTGAGGAAGCTCACAATCTAATGGAGGAGATAAAAGCAAACAAATATGTACAAACAAGCTATATATAGGATAAATTAGAATAATTGAAAGGGAAAGCACTAGGATTAAGAAGGATTGGGAAGGGGCAGCTAGGTGGCACTGTGGATAAAACTTTGGCCTTGGAGTCAGGAAGACCTGAGTTCAAATGCAGCCTCAGGCACTTGACACTTACTAGCTGTGTGACCTTGGGCAAGTCACTTAATCCCAATTACCTCACCAAAAAAAAAGAAAAAAAAAAGGATTGGGAAAGGCTTCCTGTAGAAGATGGGATTTCAGTTGAGACTTGATGGAAACCAGGAACACTAGGAGGTAGAGACAAAGGAGGAAGAGCTTTCCAGACATGGTGGACAATCAGAGAAAATGCCTGGAGCTAATGCTTAAAGGTACTATAGATAATGAATCAATATCAATACTTTATGCACCCAAGAGGATATCACATCTAAGTACTTAAAGGAAAAATTAGGTGAAATGGAGAAATAGATAACAAAATTATAATGGTTGGGGGACCTTAGGTACCCTTTTCAGACCTAGACAAACCTAACTACAAATATACAAGGAGCAACTGTTTTCATAGCAGTCAACAATGCAATGCTAAGAGGTGATATTCTATTCGAGAAAGGCTAAACAAATTTTGGCATCTGAATTTTAATGGACTATTATTATGTAATAAGAAAATATATAATATACATTTTCAGAGGAAATTAGGAAGATCTTTGTGAATTTATAAAGAGAAAAGTGAGAAGAACTGGAATAGTTTATACAGTGGTAACAATTAAAGAGAAAAAACAATGTGAAAGAATTATGATCAGTACAATGATAAACCACAAATCCAAAAGAATGATGATAAAATATGCCACTCACCTCCTGTCAGAGAGGTAATGAACTTGAAATGTAGAACGTTATACATTTTTGGACATGGCCAATGCAGGAATTTGTTTTGTTGGCCTATGCATATAAAGTATTGAGAGCTTTATTGGGGATTGGGTATTTTTCCCTCATTTGTTCAATATAGGTTGTGAGGTAATGAAAAGATTATTTTTTTTAGGAAAGGAAAAGAATCAAAGGATATTTATGCCATTGCACTTTTATTTTAATATCATTTGTTGTTGCACAGTGGTGCTGTTCTGGATCAGAACAATAGAATCCAGATTCGAGATTAAAAAAAAAATTATGCCAAAAACTCAAGATGACATGAAGAAGATAGAGAACAAGCTTTTACTTAGTAGCCTACTATGCCTCCAGGCCTCTTAAAAGGACTATAGGGCAGCTAGGTGGCGCAATGGATAGAGCACCGGCCCTGAAGTCAGGAGGACCGGAGTTCAAATCTGGCCTCAGACTAAACACTTGATCCTAGCTGTGTGACCCTGGGCAAGTCACTTAACCCCAATTGCCTAAAAAAACAAAAACAAAAACAAAAAGGACTATATTATTTGTGAATATATTATATGTTTATGAATATATGGTTGGACATGTTTTAATACAGTATTGTCATTAAAAGGACAGTATTGCCATGGTTTAGAGAGCTGATACTTTGGGTTTCTCTCCTGTGTGAGTTCTCCAATGTTTAATGTTTGATGAGGTGTCACTGAAGACTCTACCACATTTGTTGTTTATAGGATTTTTTCCCCCTAGTGTGGATTCATTAATATCAAATAAAGTATGTATTGTGGCTAAAGGTTTTGTCGTATTCATATAGTTTCACTCCTCTTTGGACCCTCTGATTATAGGGAATGCATAAGTTTGTACTAAAAGCTTTGGCTTTATTTTATATTCATAAGGCTTTTCTCTAGCATGAATTCTCTAATGTTGAATGAGATGATCTGTCACTGGAAACTTTCCTACATTCATTACATTCTTGTAGTTTCACTCTAGTATTATCTAGAGATTGAATAAAAGATTAATTTGTTCTTACATAAATATATTACATATACAGATTCCTCTCCAGTATGAATTGTCTGCTATATAATGTGAGTTACTGTTGTCAGCCTTCTCACATACTTTATATTCATAGTGTCTAAAATATGAATTTTCTGGTGGGCAAGAAAATATAGAGGAATATTGAAGGCTTTCCCACATTGGTTGCATTTATAAGATTTTTCTCCAGTATATATTCTATGATGCTAAACAAGGGATGATCTGTCATTAAAGGCACATATTCCTTCTGAAAGCCTTCTCATATTCATTGCATTCATAGGGTTTCTCTCTCAAATGAATTTTTTGATGTTCAATGTTTTTATTTGAAGGCATTTCCATATTCATTACATTTTGTTAAATAAGAAACGAGCTATTGTTGATGGCTTTGCCACATTAATTACATTCATAAGGCTTCTTTCCAGTGTGGATTCTCTAACAAGTACTGAGCTGTTATTGAAAGATTTGCTACACATATTCCATTTATGAGAATTCCTCCTTCTTTTTTTTGGCGAGGCAAGCGGGGTTGTTACTTGCCCAGGGTCACACAGGAAGTGTCAAGTGTCTGAGGCTGGATTTGAACTCAGGTCCTCCTGACTCCAAGGTCAGTGCTCTATCTATTGCACAACCTAGCTGCCCCAATGAGAATTCTCTTTTTAAAAAATAATTTATTAATTTTTAGTTTTCAACATTCACTTCCATAAGATTTTGTGTTTTAAATTTTCTCCCCCTTCCTCTCCTCTCTGAGAATTCTTTAAGTGTAGATTCTCTGATATTGATTATGACATGTTCTCTGCCTAAAAGCCTTCCCATGGTTACTACATTGTTAGTTTTTCATGATTATTAATGTTCTGATGTGTGGTAAGGAATAAGCTGTCACTGAAGGCTTCTCCTACATTCACTACATTTATATGGTATCTTCCTTAGATGTTTAAGAAAGTATGAATGGATGCTAACGGCCCTGTTCAATGCATTAAATTCATACCTTTTTTCCCACAATATGAATTCTCTCATGCTTACTTAGGCTTAAGTATTAAGGGATTTCCTATATTCATTACATTCAAAAGATTTCTAGGATGATTTTCTGATGTTTGCCAAGGGATATCACTTAAGGTTTTGCTATACTTGGTCTTAAGGTTTCTCCATAGTGTATTTTATCTGATGCTTACTGAGAAATATGATATGACTAAATGCTGTGGTACATGCCATACTTATGATTTCTGGTGCCAACTGTCTGATGTTAAAACCAAGGTGTACAGTCTAGGTAAATGTCTTGCCATGTTCATTACATTTATAGGGTTTTTCTATAGTATGAATTCTCAGATGTTTAGTAAAGGATGGACTATCATGTAACACTCTGCCACATTCATTGCATTCATATAGTTTCTCCTCAGCATAAACTCTGATACTGAAGAAAGTATGAGTAGGTCCTGAAATCTTTGCCACATTCATTACATTTATGGAGTCTCTCTTCAATATGAGGTCTCTGATGTTGAGTAAAGGGTGTTCTCCAGGTGAAGGCCTTCCTATATTTATAGGGTTCCCATATTTGTACAGTTTTTTCTTTCAGTATGTATTCTGTGATGCTGGATAAGGTTTGAGTAGTAACTGGAGGTTTTTCTTCAATAGTCTGCTTCATGAGTTAGACCTGTCTAAAGAGCATCTTTATTTTTTTAAAAATAAATTCATTTCTACATCCTTAAAGAAAGCTTGAAAAGAAGTCCACTCCTTATTCTTATCTATGCAATTCTAGTATTAAGGAAAGCAATTCAATTCACTTAAAGTCAATAATCTAATCATTAATTTCCCTAACTCACATATTATTTCTGATGTTTTATCACCAAAAAATGATGCAAAAATGTTTGGTAGAAGCCTCGAACTATAAATTTAGGTAATTAAAAAACCATTCAATGATGTAAAAATGCTCATTAGACAAACAAGTGTTAAATGAATCATTAAGGAAATTGATCATAAAAAGAACTGCTATTAGAAGAACTGATGTAAAACCTCTTGTTGTATATGCTAGGGAATATACTATCAGAAAAAGATACACAGTGGAGAAAGGGATGAGGAAGAAGCAGCATATTTCTCATTCAAGTACACCAAACAAAATCATAGCTAGTACTATTTTTCACAAGCTATTTGAATATGGGACAATTCCAAATGAAACTTTTTAATTTATTAAATTCCTAGGATCATACTTCACTATGAAGTCTCCGATATTTGACCAGGGATGACCTGTGCTTGAAGACATTCCCACACTCATTACATATTTAAGGTTTCTCTCTTGTATGGGTTCTCTGATGTCGAGTAAGATGTACACGCAAGCTGAAGGCTTTTCCACATTCATTACATTCATAAGGTTTCTCACCAGTATGAGTTCTGTAATGGAGGGTAAGGTCTGCACGTCGAATGAAGCCTTTCCCACACTTACTACATTTATAGGGCTTCTCACCAGTATGAATCCTTTCATGTTTGTTAAAGGATGACCTATCAGAAAATGCTTTTCTGCATTCACTACATTCATAGGGTTTCTCTCCAGTATGAATTCTCTGATGTTGAGTTAGGTTTGTACTATATCTGAAGGCTTTCCCACATTCGCTACATTTATAGGGTTTCTCTCCAGTATGAATTCTCCCATGTTGAATACATTCTGCCTTCTGACTAAAAGTTTTCTCACATTCACTACATTTATAGGGTTTCTCTCCAGTATGAATTCTCTGATGTTGAGTTAGCTGTGTACTCCATCTGAAAGTTTTCCCACATTCTTTGCATTCATAAGGTTTTTCCCCAGTGTGAATTCTTTTATGTCGATTAAGACCTGTCTTTTGGTTGAAAGCTTTTTCACATTCGTTACATTTATAAGGTTTCTCTCCAGTATGGATTCTCTGGTGTTGGATAAGGAGTGTAGTATTTCTGAAAGCTTTTTCACAGATATTACATTCAAAGGGTTTCTCATTAGTATGGACTCTAGAATGCTTTTTAAGCAGTGCACTCTTACTGAAAATTTTCCTACATTCAGTACATTCATAAGACTTCTTTGGTATACATACTTTCTGATGACTTATTAAGCATGAATTACAATTAAAAGTTTTCCCACATATATCATATTTATGGTATCTCTCTTTAGTGGGAACACTTTGCTCCATAACAGGGATTGAGTCCAGATGAAACTGATTACATTCAGGGCTTTTCTTCCCAGGTAGGATTTTATTTGGGGCAACTGTCATTTGTTTTAGATATTTCTCATATATTTCTTGTGGGATGCCAAACTGGTCTTCAAATCTCCAGGTTTCATGTGATTTAGAATAACATATACTATTCCTTGTGAATCTTTCCACTTCTACCTTCTGGGATGATTCCTCTTCAGAAATGTTCTGCTTTGGAATTAACTTCCTGGTTTCAGGTGTGATCTCCCAGTCTGAAAGAAAGAAAAATGTAACTCTGTCTTGTTGGTTAGGTTATGAGAAAGAAAACCACCAAAGTGAGAACAGAAGAATGAAAATGGTAATAATGAGTACAATGATCTAATAATCTTCAAATATGGACTCAGAAACTGGGGAAAGGATGGTAAAGGGGAGGAAAGATAAGTGAGAAGAGGGGAATCTCTCTTCCTTTAAGGTTCATTCAATCTATATTTATTACTCAATGAAGATTCTGGTAGCTGCTCTCTATCAACCTTCAGGACACTTGCCTTCCTTCTTGAATTCAGTGTCTATTTCAGTTTTTCTCTCTCCTTCACAACTCCTACTCTGAAACTAGGGGACTTCGACATACATATTGATACTCTCTCAGGCACTATAACTTCCCATTTCTTAAATTTACTAATTTCCCATGATCTACTCCTTAACTTTAACTCAGCTATACAGAGATTGCCATACCCTTGATCTTGCCATAACCCAAGTGTTCTTGGGGATAACCCAGTTACCCCTTCCACATCATGAATTTCCCCATCACAGTTTCGATATATTGCAGGTTGGCATAAGAAATTAAATGGGTATTTTGAGGGAGATTTGTGGAAGCCACAGATAACATGGGAGCACCAGCAGATGACACAGAAAAAAGTTTAGAAACCCAGAAATACATAAAATATATGTATAGTATTATATAATATCAACATATTTTATCTCCTAATACCATAATACTTCAGACTTTCCTGATACGAGGGCCAAAACATTTTATGCAGGTATTCCAAATTGTGGGGGCACTATGCCCCTAATCCCCATGATGTGGAAGAGATAACTATTTTCATGTACTCTGAACTTTTACCATTCCATTTTCTCCTCTCCCTCATGACCCCTAACCCCATTCTTTATCTTCACTCTGACTTCTAATCCCTTTGCTCCTCAAATTCTTTCCCAGCCTTTCACCCCTGTACAAGCTATACTCTCCTCCCTTCCCCATCTTGATCCCTTGGTGAACCAGTTCAACTCTACACTATCCTCCTCTTTTCTTGAATCCCTAGCTTCCTTATCTTATCACCAGTCTTGTCCTGCCAAGCCTGCCTAGGATTACTCCTATCATCCTCTGCCTCTGTTCTTATTCAAGTACTGGAATGAATGAAACTGGAGCAAATCATGAAGCTGTGTTGACAGGGTCTAATGCAAAATTATGTTACAGTTTGAATAGGAGGACTCTCTCTGCAGTAAGGCAATAATTTTATGTGTCCTTTAATACGAATTAATTTACTTTTCCACTTATTAAAGCAGCTTTTCCAAACCTTTTCATCCTTTCTCAAACTTCACATACCTCTCCTCCTGAACTTACTCTCTCAGTTGAGAAATTTGCCCCACGGTTCACTGAAAAAATTAAGATCATTCATCTAGAACTCCTAATAATTAACTGGATAGGAGAAGTGAGGGAGAGAAAAGTGAACCCAAAGAAATGAACATGGGAAACCACATGAATATTGGTGCCATAGGTGATGATTTAGGAGGAAAGATAACAAGTTCTGTTTTGAACATACTGAGTTTAAAATGTCTATTGGATATCCCATTCGAGAAGTCTAAAAAGCAGTTAGAGATGTGAGTTTGGAGATTAGCCAACAGTCTGTGGCAGAATAGGTAGATTTGAGAATAAGCATAAAGATGCTAATTAAATCCATGGGAGCTGATGAAATGACCACACAAAGTTGTATACAGAGATAAGAGGGCCCAGGATAGAACCCTGAGGGACACCTATGGTTAGAGGGTGTGATCTGAAAAAGGATCCAGCAAAGGGAACAGAAGTGGAGGGTCAGGTTGGTAGAAGGAGAATCAGGAGATAGTGGTTTTCCAAAAACCTGGAGAGAAGATATTATCAAGGAGGAGAAATGATCAACAGTGTCAAAGGCTATAGAAAACAGGTACACTAATGTACTACTGGTGGAACTGTGAACTCATCCAACTATTACAGAAATCAATTTGAAACTATGCTCCCAAAGCTATTAAACTCTGCATACCCTTTCCTCCAGTGATCTCTCTACTAGTTCTATACCACAAAGATATCAATTAAAGAGGAAAAGGATCCATGCATACAAACATTTGCAGCAGCTCTTTTTGTGGTGGGAAAGAATTAGAAACTGAGAGGTACCCATTAATTGGGGGAATGGATGAACAAGTTAGGATATATGAATATGATAGAATACTATTATGCTATAAGAAATGATGAAGGGGATCATTTTAGAGAGACCTGGTTGGTCTTGTATGAAATGATCCAGAGTGAAATGAATAGAAAAAAAACAAAACACTCATACAAGGACAACAATATTATACAGACACAACTTGGAAAGACTTAAGAACTCTGATCAATGTGATGATCAATTGGTTGTCATTCTCCATTCTCAACGAGGACCAAAATGACATCACTATGTTAGTGTCAAGTTACAGTGTGTCTGACTGGCTGATCAGGCCAATGTGAGCTCAGAATGCTCTATCACAGGTCATGCACAAATAGTCCATATGAACATCGGAGGTGTATTCTCTAAATCTGTGCATCTCGTGTTTCTTTTGACTGCTTCAATTCTGCTTTACTCATAGAGCACAGCACCTTCTCTCATGTGAATATTTAGCCTGGAGAGGTAAGTCTGTGATCAGTCCAGCACTCTGAGCCACACACTGCCTTCCTCACTCTCACATCCTGTCTCTTCTCCTTATAACACAGTCTATTAAAGGCCAATGTTTTCTGTGAAGGTGCATCCATGAAGTTTTACTGCATTTAGGTAAATGGAAGACAATGTTGGTGATGAGACCATGAGATGCACAAGTCTTCAGTAGTTAAGTGACCAATGCTCTTTGCAGTTTCCAACTCCATTCCTCCCAAGGACTCCCTGCTATATTTAGTAGTCTGAGCCTACTCCAGCACTGAAGTCACCCAGAACTATAAGCTTGTCTTCTTTTGGTACCTTGATGATAAGGGTCTCCAGGTCTTCATAAAATTTTTATTTGAGCTCATCAGGGTTTATCATGGTGGGAGTACAGGCATTGATGATGGTAGCATGGCACTTTCTGGCAAGTGGCAATACCGTTGTCATGAGACTGTCGTTTTTCAGTAGGCACATAAGTTTATTGACTAGATTAATTTTGATTGTAAAACCTATACCAATTTCACAGTGCTTCCCTTTACTGTGGCCACTCCAGAAAAACGTGTATCCAGTGCCACCTTCAGTAAGCTAGCCTTCATTTACCAGTCTTGTTTCACTCAAGGCTACCATTTGGATGCAGTATCTACCGAGTTCTTTCACAACAAGAGTTGTTCATCTTTCAGGTCTACTGGATTTTGTGTTGTCTATAAGTATGCACATCCCATGTACCGATGGTAAGTGGGATCATCTTTGCAGAAGTTTTTGTACATTTTTTTGTATTTCAGCTGCAGGGTGGGATCCCTGCCTGCTGAGGTAAACAGGCCAGGTTGGGTAAACAGACAATTTTTAGGGCATCTTTTCTAGCCCCTTCCTCATACCAGGAGGTGAGCAGTGAGGTCCTTAAAAGGCTGCTCAGATACCTAAGGGGCTGCTGAATCCCACTGCTGCTTCCAGGAAGAAAACGATCATATGGCCTGGGCCACCTGTATGCAAGGTTGTGATTACAGCTCCCAGTGTATCTGCACCTACTGCTTTGTCACTTGTCTGTGTTGACCACAATACTGAGAGGTAAAAATGGTAAAATGGTATGGGTGATATCTTGTGATTCGTGCATAAATTGGATTTAAGTGAGACAGAGTTGCAAGAAATGGTTAGCCTCATTCTCTCGTCCAAAGTTGTCACAATCCAATGGCAGGATAGAATCAAGATGACTGGTGATGGCTCAAGATGCAGTAGATGACCTTGGTGTCTTCAATATTTAACCAAGCCCTAAGCACTCCACAGCACCTACTTCAGCTGTCTTCATGGCTGTTGGAACAAACTGCTCTCATTTGTCCTTTCCACCAGATGTCTTCTCATGCTTGGGGTAGACACTTCTCTATCTTACCAAGTGGTTTGAGACCTTTCGGTTACCATCAATCTGGTTTAGCCTGTTTGCCAAAAGCATTTACTGGAGTGTGGCCACTGTGCATGCTATAGTTTCTTGGAGCCACAGGTGAGAGTTAGGTGGATCAGGTGGACACCAAAGGTGGAAAGCAGCCTTGAAAAGGGGTCGGCAGCCCTCACATCAGAGGTATTAGTATTCCCTGAACACACTCTATATCATATGACCAATTACAATTTTAGTGAACTCATAATGAAACATGCTACCTACCGCCTGACATAAAAGTGATGGACTCAGAATGTAGATTAAAGACTTTTTTTTGGTGGGGGGAGGGCAGGCCAAAACATGGCCAATATAGAAATTTGCTTGTAACATATTTGTAGAAGAGGTTTTGTTTTTCCTGCTTTCTCAACTTGAGGTTGCAGAGATAGATGAGAAGGAAAGAAAGTGGATATTCATGAAGATAAAATAAGAACTTATTAACAATTACACCCGTCCAACAATTAAATAGGCTACCTCCCAAAGTAAATGTAATGAAAGGCCCTGAAAAATTATATAGCCTTGCCTGAACATCTCTGAAGAAGGTATAGAGCCACTTGTCTCCTCATCCCTGATATAAAAAAAAAATGTTAGATTTTACCTCAGCCTAGTAAATTAAAAAAATCTCTTAGAATACTGAAGGCCCCAAACATAGACTACCTATTCATTGTTTAGTTTTCTGTTTGATATTTGTTTTCTTTTACTTTTGCAATTCTTGCAGTGGGTGAGAATTTGGACTAGATGACTTCTAAAATGTCTTTCAACTCTAAGATAATTTCATCATATTATAGAAACATATAAGCTCAGAGTCTTTGAGTGAATTTGTGCCAAATGACATCAGTCTTATCTGCAGGCCTAGATGGCCTGAAAGAAAATTACAAAAACAAGTTTACAATCTCTTTTGACTTACTCATAGTGATTCATCTCTTTGGGTCTTTTTCACTCACCTGGAAAGGTACCTCTTGGGATTTCTCTCTCTACAATCCAAGGTTCTTTTCCTTGCTCCAGCTGGGATATCAAATCTGGTTTACAAACTTGATGTCCTGCTCACAGGGAAAAGAAACAAAGGACTTGAGTATTTGTGCTGGAGGAAAAAATCATTCTTGGATTAAGTTCTAACTCTTTGTTGTTTAGGTCCTCTGAAAGATGAGAAAATGGAATACCATGGACAGCGCAACAAAGTTATCTATTTTATATTCTAAGAAGTGAACTTTCACCTGGAAAGAAGAAACAAGAATACCCTATTTTTGTGTCCAAAGTGAATTAAGAATTTCTGATCACTTATCCCCAAGTCCCTACATAGATAAATGCTTTACAGCGAGAAGTTTTGTACCATTTATCCCACTTAATGACTTATGAAACAAAATGATCCTGTCATACAGGAAAACCACACTTACCCACTGAGACCAGGTTTCTATAGTTCTCCAGCATTACATCCTTATACAGATATCTCTGACCAGGATCCAATTGCCTCCACTCTTCATGGGTAAAGTCCACAGCCACATCCCTGAATGTCAATGATTCCTGAAATGCCAAATATATTCCTGCTCAACCTACCACCCACCACTCATTTACATGGCCTTGGAGAGAGGTGTTAGTGATTGAAGAGGACAGGATTGCATATGCTGATAATTTTCAGAGACATCACTACTCCAAGTAAAGTATATTATTTTCTGATTGCGTACTATGTGGCTAGAACCATCTCTGACTAATTAGGTGGTACAAAAGAGGTAAAATACATGGTCAGTGTCCTTGATGAAGGTATAGTTTTGTCACAGAGGAAAGCAGACATGGCGTAATTGGAATATGGTACAGTGATAAGTTATGTGATACAGAAAGAAAGTACGCATGAGTCCAGAATAGAAGAGAAGCAAGTGAAGACCTCACAGAAGAATGACAGAGCCTTCAAGTCTGAAGGGATTGTGAAGGCTATCTCACAAACCACCCTTCTAATGGATGAGTATTTATGTTTTACAACCCCTCTGACCTCCTGATGATAGGAAATCATCTAATCTCAATTTGAACACGTTAAAGAAGTCACTCCTTCAAAAGCTGCCAAATCCATTTTCATGCATGTTAGGGTCTTGCTTTTATTGAGCTACAGCCTGACTCCTTTTAATTCCTACTCATTGTTCCTAGTTCTTCCATCTGAAACAAAATGAGTAAGTCACGTTCATATTTTATGTAATAGTCCTACAATTGTTTGAAGGTAGCTAATCAAAATTACCTATTTTACATTTTGTAATGCTCTATTTTCTTTGGTCTCTACATAGAGATTCCCTAATCTATATATCCAACTCTAATCTCTTCCCTGAACTCCATCGGAATTTCCTGAACCCCACCTCCACCATCAACTGCCTATTTCTTGCTAAATTGTTCTGTAAGCATCTCAAAGAGCAGCTAGATGACACAGTGGCCCAGGAGTCTGGAGGACCTGAGTTCAAATCTTGCCTCAGACACTGACTAGCTGTGTAACCCTAGGCAAGTCACTTAACTCTGTTTGCCTCAGTTCTTAATCTGGAAAATGAGTTGGAGAAGGAAATGTCAAAACACTCTAGTATTTTTGCCAAGAAAAATCCCAAATGGGGTTGTGGAAAGTTGGACACGACCAAAACAACTCAGTAACAACAAAAGTATCTGAAAATGATTATGATGGCAGGGGATAGAGTGGAGAGAAAGACTGAGCCAGGCACTGAAGTCATTAAATAAGTTTGGAGATTGGCCAAGATCTCCCACTGCATCCTGGGCCATCTCTAGTTGTCCTGATCTATATCTGGCTACTGGACCCAGATGGCTCTGGTGGAGAAAGTGAGGCTGATGACTTTGCACAGCCCTCCCTCACTCAAATCCAATTCAATTGCAAGTCATGGCATCATCTTCCTAATGTCAAGGTCCTCTTTCAGAATGAAGGACAAACCACAAAACAAAACAATGCAGAGATGGAACTTATTCCCAAGAGAATAGATAAGATCTCCAAGAGAGTACCTACAGAGAGAGGAAAAAAGCAAAAGGTGGAGCTCTGAAAAACAGCCACACTGAGGGGGCAGGTCATATGGATCATGGTCCAGTAAAGGAGACTAAGAAGGAGCAGTAAAGCAGGCAGGAGAACCAGGAGAGAAAAGGGTTGAATAAAATGTGGACTGAGGAAAGGCTACTGAATTTAGCAGTTAAGAGATTTGGGAGGATAGACAACTGAGGAAGGAGGTGTCATGGATTCTTGGAGGTCAGTAATTGTACAGGTTCTTATGGCAAGCTCTGTGCCAGAGCCATTCTGTACAGTTAATCCCAAACAATCCCAGTGAGGCACGGAAATCTTTTTAGAATAAAATTCTGATGATATAAACAGAAACAATTCTGATAAGGAGGGAAGCTATTTTTAGAAAAAGTCCAATGAGAATGCAAAGCAACTCATTGGCCAATTTAAACATATAAAAGAAATGTACAAAAAATAGAAAAAAAGGTGCAAAATTGAAGACAAATACAAAAGTATGTCATTGTTCTATGACAACTATGTTAGGAATGCTAAAATACAGAATAAACTGAGACTACTGAGGAATGCCAAGGACAATAAAAAGGACCCTTTAGCTATATTGTTGAAAATAGCATGTTCAAAGAAGGTATGGGACCTCAGCTTCAGGTGGATGGCATGACAATAATTGATAGAAAGTAGTTACTCAACTCTTATACTGCTTTTGTTTTCTCACCAAGAAAAGTCTTTGGACTGGACAAGACAGTACAAAAATACTTAAAGGTAGTTGAAACCCAACACGACAAGAGAGACAGTGAAAGACCACTTAGCTGCCCCTGATGAGGTCAAGTCACTAGACCCAGACAAATAACATTCCCCAATTCTAAAGGAAATGACAGATGTGATAACTGAGGGACAGTTAATGATCTTTTAAACAGTAGTAAGGTGCCATGGAGTTCATAAGCAAAAATGTTGTTTTGATTTTTGAGAAGTAGAGTCTGCAATTTCAGGCCGGGAATCTTGAATTTAACTCTTGACAAAATTCTAGTACATTATTAAAGAGATGGTTGCAAATATTTAAAAAAGAAAATAGTGATCACAGCAAAAAAGTTAGTATAATATGGCTTTATCAAGAATAGTCCATTCCAAACTAACCAAATTTCCCTTTGTAATTGTGTTTCTAAACTGGTAGATTAAGGGGATGCTATAGATTTAGGTTGGCTCCAAGATTTTCATTGATGGGTACATGATAACTTGGAAGGTCTCTACTGGAGTGTCTCAAGGGTTTGTCCTTGGCCCTGTGCTGTTTACCATTTTTATCAGTGACTTAAAAACAAAAAAGTCATAATCACAATATGTGAGAGGCATGGCTGGATAACTGCCTTGTTTGAAACATATTTGGAGGGGTTTGTGGACTACAAGTTCAATATGAATTAACAGTGTGATATGGTGCCAAAAAATGTAATGGGACTTTAAGCTGCATTGAAATGTCTTGTACCATTTATGGATAATGGAAGAATTTAGGGCCAAAGAAAATATAAAGGGCACTGCAAAATGTAAAACAGATAATTTTAATTATATAAAATTAAAAAGTTTTTGCATAAAAGAAACCAATGCAACCAAAATTAAAAGGAAAGCAAAAAACTTGGAAAAATTTTTTTTGCAACAAATATCTCTGATAAAGGCCTCATTTCTCAAATACATAGAGAACTGAGTCACATTTATAAAAATAAAATTGTGCTCAAAGGATATGAACAGGCAGTTTTCAGACAAAGAAATCAAAGCTATCTATAATTATATGAAAAAATGCTCTAAATCACTATTGATTAGGGAAATGCAAATTAAAACAACTCTGAGGTACCACCTCACACCTATCAGATTGGCTAATATGACAAAAACGGAAAATGATAAGTGCTGAAGGTGATGTGGGAAAACTAGGACATTAATGCATTGTTGGTGGAGCTGTGAACTGATCTAATCATTCTGGAGAGCAATTTGAAACTATGCCCAAAGGGCTATAAAACTGTGCATACCCTTTGATCCAGCAATACCACTGCTAGGTCTGTAACCCAAAGACATTAAAAAAAAGGGAAAAAGACCTATATGTACAAAAATATTTACAGCAGCTCTTTTTGTGGTGGCTAAGAATTGGAAATCAAAAGGATTCGTATCAATTGAAGAATGGCTGAAAAAATTGTGTTACATGATTGTGATGGAATATTATTGTGCTATAAGAAATTACAAGCAGGATGACTTCAGAAAAACCTGGAAAGATTTACATGAACTAATGCAAAATGAAGTGAGCAGAACCAGGAGAACATTGTATAGAATAACAGCAATATTGTATGAAGAACTGTTAATGACTGAGCTATTCTCAGCAATACAATGATTCAAGACAATCCCAAAGGACTCATGACAAAGCATGCTCTCTGCCTCCAGAGAAAGAACTGATACTGTCTGAATACAGACAGAAGCATGCTGTCTTTCTTTCTTCCTTCCTTTCTTTCAGTTTTCTTGTACAAAATGACTAATACGGATATTTTACATGATTGCACATGTATAACCAATATCAGACTCTTTGCTGTTTGAGGGGGAAGGGGAGTGAGGGATCGAATTTGCAACTCAAAACTTTAAAAACATGTTAAAATTGTTTTAACATGTAATTGGGAAAAATAAAATATCATATTAAAAAGAGGTGGGGGGAGGGGAAGAGATGTGTATCAAGGTCTAGGCTGAAGATAGTTTTGCTGATTTCTGCTGTGGTCAATGCGTCATATCCAGAAGGAGGCAGATGGCAGTTCTGCTGTCCTCTGCTCCAGCCAGAACATATCTGGAATATTGTTTTCAGTTTTGGACAGCCCATTTTAGGAAGGGTTACCACTAAGATGGAGATTATTTAGAGAAGAGCAAACAAGAAGGCAGATGGCGTTAAGATTATGTTATATAAGGATCCATGGAAGGAACTGGGTTCTGTAAATTTAAAATGAGAGAATTTGATGGAGGCATGATAGCTGCCTTTGTATATTTATGAGATTGCCATACATAAAAAGGACTTATTTTTTTTGGTCTAAAGGTCAGAACCAAAAACAAAAGGTAGAACTTGCAAAGAGGCAAATTTCAGCTTGATGTAAGAAAATACTACGAATTTAAAATGTCCTAAAATAGAATGAACTGACTTAGGGGTCAACAGGTTCCCTTTTATTAAAGGTCTTCAGGCAACGGCTGAATAACCAGTTTTTTTGGTTAATTCCTTTTAAATATATAATAAAGTTGGAAATTTTTTTTCTCCTTTTTTTCCTTCTCCCCTCCCCTTCCCCCTCCCCCAGATGGCTACCATTAGACATACATATGTAAAATCATCCTATATACATGACCACTTATTAAGAATTTGTAGAGGATTAGATGACCTCTGAAGCCCCTTCAAAAGTCTACATAACTAACTAACCATCACTTTTCTTGTGGGCCCAAGTCTGCATCACCAACTGCCTAGACATCGCCTCTTGGATAAAGGTATCTCAAATTCAACATGTACAAAAATAAACTCATTCCCTATCCCTAAACCTACTCTTCCTCCAAACATCCCAGTTGCTGTCAGGGGTACCATTATTCTTCTAGTCACCTAGATTCCGAACCTTAACATAATCTTCAACTCTTCAATATCTCTTCTCTCCCCATATCCCAAAAAGTTATAACTCCATAACTTCTTTCTTCCTCTTCTCCTCACTCCCCCATCCCCAACCATTCTCCATATAGCTGCCAAATATGTGTACCAAAGCAAATGTATATGCCTAAAGAACTGGAGCTATTCCCTCACATTCAAGAATCTTCAGTGATTCTCTATTGCCACTAGGACAGACTAGAAAATCTTTTGTCCTTTAAAGCCCTTCAAAATTTGACTTCAATCTGTCTTTCCAGACTTATTTCACAGTACTCTCCTTCAACAAGTCTATGTTCCAGCCAAACTGGTTTACTCACCATTCCCTGCATACTACATCATCTCCCAATTCCGTGACTTTGCAAATTCCCCCATTCCTGGAATGCTGTCCTCCTCATCTCTACCTCTTGCAATCCCAATCCCCTTTTAAGACTAAGCTCGTATGCTTCCTCCTACATGAGGCCTTTCTTAAGGCTCCTTATTCCCCAGATGTTAGTTACTCCCTCACTACAAAATTAGATGTACTTACTTTGCATATAATTTGTTTACTTAGCTATGTACATATGATAGTTTCCCTCTCCTCCCCTCCCATTCTCACCTTAGACTATAAACTCATTGAGATTAGGGACTGTTCAGCTTTAGTCTTTGAATCCCCAGGACCTGGCAAAAGGCCCTTATATTGCAAGTGATTAATACATTTATACTGAATTGAATGATGACAGATGAAAACAAAGATGGACAAATCCCAGCCTCTCCACCTTTCAGCTGATAGTGCTATCCCCTTCAAAGTTACCTTGTATATTGCTTATATATCCTTATATATCATGTCTCCCATGATAGAATGCAAGCTCCACGAGGGCAGGGACTATTTATTTATTCATTCACTCATTTATTTATTTTTTATTTGTAGCCCCATGCCTAGCACAAGCACTTAATAAATACTTGTTGACTGATTATACATATATACATAAATGTGTATGTATACACACATAAATATATAATTAAAATAATATAAAAATTGCCTCTTTTGAGCATAGGGTCACAGATTTATACCTGGAAGGGGCCTTAATGGTCATCTAATCCAACTTCTCCATTTTACAAATGAGAAATACATTAAATAACTTAGCCAAGGTCACACAGGGAGTAAGCAGTACAGCTAGGATTTGAACCCAAATCTTCAGACGCAAATTCAGTACACTTTCTACTGCATTATTCTCAAATGTAACAACACCTTGTTATTCCAATATTAATTGTTGAATGCCTATAGGTCAGTGTTTTCCAAAGCTAATTTTGCCATTGAACACATTTATATTTGAAATATATTATGGAACTGATAAGTACAGGTCTAGTTTTGTGGGTATGAAAGCATGGAATAGTCTCAGGACAAAAGGGGATAGAAGAAAATTGGGAGCAGAAAGAGGAAATTTAAGATTACTTTTATGCAAAAAATTTCATAAGAATGTGATACTTTCATATAATTCTATTGTCCTATTTTCTAGATATATAACTATAGAAACCTCTACTGAATTTTCGGGTTTGTTTTAAATTCATTGCATCTGATCGTGAAAAGATATTCACTAGCTTAATGTTGAATACCATTTTCATGGGATATTCATTCATGAATTATCAATCACTGAGCAGGATATATTACAGTGAAGTTCCCTAGGCTGTCTTATGAAAAACAATGAACTATGAATCTTGCTTTCTCCCAAAGGCAAAAGAAATTAGATCCTCTTGGTAATATGATTTTATAACAATGACATACAAATGTGAAAGTTGCCCTATGATAGTTAATTTAATTAGGCAAGTACCATGATATTTGACTTATTATGGACAAAAAAGTCACAAAAGGTCATATTGAATACTTAACCTTCCCTGACAAAAATTACCCAAGGATTTGATTTTCTTGTCAAAAAAACGTATAAATTAGCAGATTCAAAGAAAACACCAATCAATTCCAAACTCAAGCTTCTGTGAATGGTGCCTCCAGGCCCAGCCATCCTATTAGATAGTAAATCATTTAGGACTCCCCAGAATAACCACAGCACAAAGACTTCTTTTGGTGAAAACTTTTTCACATGTGCCATGTTTCGATCACTATTTATGTACTGTGATACCAACTTTAAACCGTCATATCCATCTTTACTACCAAGATCCTCATTCTGTTAGTTGCCCAATGTAGAAGATTTGGAGTCAACTTTGACTCTTTCCCATCTTTCATAACCTTCACTGAATGAATTATTTTTTTAAAAAAAAGTTTTCTCTTCAAATATATCATCACAGTTTGCCTTAACAGATGCTTTTCTTTGTCAGGAAAAATTCCAAATTCCACAATCTGGCATTCGAGGTTCACTACAATATGGCCCTTCTTATAGAGCCAACTTGTTTCCCCCCATTTCCTAAGATATACCCTTCACTGCAGTGAAGCTAGTCTTCTTCAGTACTTCTTACAGATAGATATTTCAATTCTAATCTTTTGTCTGTGATACCCTCTGTCATTCTCTATAACTATCTAAATCTTATCCACCAAGTTCAATTCCAGTCTCACTTCTCTTAAAATCTTCTCATCCTACCTTTCCCTTGGCCCTGACTTATATACATACTTTGATCATTTAACTTTTTCAAGTGTATTAAAAATAAATATTTTATTTCATGTGACTATCTTTCCAATGAGCCTATAAGGCCTTTAATAACAAAGATTATGCTTTCTACTTTGTTTTGTTTACAGGTTCAAATTCAGTTCTAAGAATATAGTAAGACTGAACAACCTGTTGAATGGTTGGATGGTAAGCACAGGAGGAAAATGTTGCTGAAGAATGACACTAGACAAACTGAGAACACTTCCAGTCTACTGGGGTCAAACAATCAGGGCTCAAGTTCCTTAACAGGACTTGGTTAGGCAGAAGAGTTTGAGGACAAAGGAAAGAAAAGTTTTTACTCTTTGAAACTAGAGATACAGCATTTCAGGAGAGAGAAAGCCCAACTTACCTGGGATCTGGCAGTCAGCAGGCCAGAGTTCATTCTCTCCTGCTCAGTGTTCTCCCGTTGGGGAAGGGCCAAGTCTTGAGAATGCAAAGCTAGGGAAAAGAAAGAAGTCATGAGAGACAGCCTCTTGTCTTGTGGTTCTCACTTACTCTGCTAGAAATTCTTACAGAAGATTTGGGAGTGATGCCCCATTGCCAACACCAAACACTTTATGAAGGAATAGGGAGATCAAAACAAAGTCCAAGTTCCATCTCCATCTTGGATAGAAATGAAAGTCCACTGACATCACCATCTGGGTCTCACACTCTATTTTTTTATGCTATTAGGGTCTAGGTGTTGCATCTACTATCTATCCATCAAATGAAAGCTCACCTCCAAAGACAAATGTGATCACTCAAGGTATAGTTCTGAAAGCTTTTATTAATGTGAAGCCCACTCCATGTATAGCTTCAATGAAAGCCAAAGCATTCTGTTGTATAATTTCCTATCTGTATTCACAATCTTACAAATCCCCATTCTTTCCCAGCCTGCACTAGCGAAGGGGGACTAATTACAATTTATTAGAATATCCCACCTTCAACTCCTTCTCAGAGAATTCCTTAGAGAATGTAGAGTGAGAAATGCAGGACTAGGTCTATTTCAGCTTCTACCATGAATTTGTTACTTCATTTATTGGGCAAGTATTCTAAGGGAAAAGGTAATTACACATTGAAAAAAATGTAATATTTTCTCTAGAGGTAAGGTACTGGCCATCAGTACCAGGTACAGTCTTGTCCTTGGACAATCCATATCCTTTCCTTCTTCTCTGTAATGCTCACCTTTCTCCTCAAGTATCTAGATCAAATTCTTCAAAGTTACCCACTCCTCACTGGGTTCTCAATGTTCCAATGTTACCCCAGTACTGTATTACCTATGCAGGATGGTCAGGAATTGTTCTGGCAACAGATACAACAGGACATGCACCTTGTTCTAGGTTCTGCTCTGACACTTTGGCTGAAAGTTTCAGGTCAGGGTTTCTCCACTTAGGATAGATTCCAAGTCTCCAAGGCCTAAGAGTTCAGAAGCAAGGTCACTTCATTCTGGTGTTCAGATCTCAGTAGGGAACCCTACTTCTAGTGCCACACCTGTAGAATTGCTGCAGGGTTGAAGGGAACAAAGAGATGAAGTCAGCAAAAGGGATCTAGCAGACTTGGTCATAGGTTAAGCCCTAAAGATTTTTATTTGTTTAGGAAACTAGTAAGGGATACCTGCTATTTTCAAGTCCTTGTGCCAGCTGCTATATAGGATAGAAGAATGAATAAAACAAAGTCTCTAACCTTGAGGACCTTAAGATCTAGAATACTGGTAGCGGACAGCATAAAATGCTGAGCAGTCAATATATATACATCTTACCCTGGCATTATAACACCTTACAAACTGGCTCCATTAAAGTTTTCTAACTATAATTCATATGACAGTATTGGAATGGAAATGACATACTCTACATTTGAACAATACCAGACCATTCCCCAATCCTTTTCTTAGATTGCCCTTCTGTTCCCTGAGCATTTACTACTACTATAATCTAAGTCTGAACCTGGATTGAACTCCTAACCCCCAACTTCACTTACTGAAGCCCCTCTTTTCCTTCAAGGGATGCCATCCTGGACTCACCCAACATGTCCAGCTGCTTGTAATCTCTCCATCCTCAAATTTAACATGGCATGTAGCCTAGACCTTTCCATTGCACCTATTAAATTAATCCTTCATGTAAGAGCTTCGTGGACACATGTCTTTTCTTCCCTAATAATAGGGAGGGAGGCTCATGTTTTATTGGGGATCTTTGAATCCCCAATATCTATCACAGTGACTTACACAGAGTAGATTATTAGTAACAGTAATTGCTGACACAGAACCAGGGGAATCTTCTTAACTCCTTTACACAAATAACACACACACAAGAGAGCTCTTGTCTTTCTACGTGTAACACACGCATGCCCAACAATAGCCCTGATGGCGTGCTCGACTCCCGGCCCTTAATCCCTTCCCGAATCGGCTCAGTCAGGGTTCAGGATGCTTCGGGGAAATGGGTTCCGGTGACCAAATAACTGAAATCGGCCTCCAGGACTGACCTGACCTCAGATAAAGAACTGATTCCGGGCCAAAGAACCAATCGTTTCGTCGAGGCCGCGCGCAATCTTTAGCCATCTCAGAAGAGGGGCGGGGCCCGCGCCCTGGGAACGTCAGGACTACCACACCCAGAATGCACCGCTTCAGTTTTTTTTTTAAGCAGGTTCCGGTCATTCGTTTCCCGCTGGTGTTGCAGGTTTGCTTGGCCGAGTTCCTGAACCCTTTCCCTGCATCCGGGAGACCCGTCCGAAATCTGTACCGAGAGTACATGGACGCCAAAAAACTAAACCCTGCTCTGTTTTCTAGGTAGTGAGCGACCTTTCGACAAAGTTAGGTCGTGGTCCCTCTTTACCATCCTATCATTTATCACGGCATGTTTCCATGGCAGTGGCTGCAGTGCGCCTTTTCCGGTTCTCTGGGCCTGGACCCAGAGAATGGATTATTTATTTAATTATTTATTTTTTATAGTGTTATTATTGGGAGCGCAGATCCCCTAGAATTTGAACTGGGAAAAGAGGCGGGCCATCAGGAGGCGGGGTCAAGGGAACCAATACCGTAGAAGGAACCAGAGAAGGGTGCGTCTAGCGTTGTAAGAAGCCACTGGGGGCGGGGCCAAGTTTAAAAGTGGGAGAGTTGGCCAGGCAGGAGGTGGACGATTTGAGTTAGGACTTCAGTTACAACAGAGACCTGAATGTGTCAGATCTAATAGAGTCTCTGTAAGGAGAAATTGATTAATTTTTCTGAAGGTCCTTTAGGTGTGTAAGAGGACCAGTGAAATATACCTTATAGAGACTTTTCAAAGAGTTTTGAGAAGGTGGGTTTTTAAAAAAAATTTTCTTCTAACAGCAGTGAGTCATTAATTTAGAGAGAAGATACTTTATTTTGGAGGTGGGGGACTTTTAGGAAGCTGGCATAATAAATACATCACCCTTAGTTGCTTCTGCTCCTCTGATTGGAGGAAGGAACAAAAATTTCCTCCCAAAGCCTCCAGCTGTTCACTTGGTTTCAACTCCACCATCATCGTCAAGCTTCCCCCCTTTCCAGCTTCCCTTTGTGTATTGTCTTTTCTGTTAAATTGTATACTCCTTGAGGGTAAGGGCTGTTTTTTTCTTATTTGTATTCCCAGTTAGCACAATGCCAGACATTTATTGTATTGTATTGTGCAGTAAACAAAAAGTTGGAATAAACAGATTTATTTGAAGAGAAAAGTAAATAAAAGGGGCACCCCAGGCCTAGAGTAGAGACTTGAAATTTAACATTTTAAAACCCAAATCCCTCTGGCTTTCATAGAATTACCAATATCATTCCCTAGCCCAAGCCTAGGTGGCTCATGGTTTAGGGCTTAGAATGAACAAAAGTAGCAATTGTTTTCTGTTTGGCCCAGAAACTCCAAGCGTCTTCCCCTCCCAGATTGATATTTTTATGGTGGTAGATTAGGCCATCTTTTGTCTCAATTCTTACCTAGCTTTTAGTCACTGAATGGGTGTTACCTCAGACAAACTGAAACCTGGGAAAGATCTTAATTTAGAAAGGCCAAGGTCACTCACTGCATCCTGGGCCATTGCAATTTGTCTTGACTTTTATTTTGCCACTGGACTCTGATGACTCTAGAGGAGAGTGAGGCTGACAACTTTGTGCTTCTCTGCTTCATTTAAATCCATTTCATGGGCAAATCAAGGCATTACCCTTGTGATGTTCCCCAAGCCACCATTCTTCCAAACTTTCCTATTTCTGTCTGACATCATCATTCTTCTAGTCTCCTAGGTTTGTAAACTGAACATTATCCTTAATTCTTTACTCTCTCACCCCATATTTACAATCACTTGCCAAATCTTACAGTTTCTACCTGTGTAACATCTCTCTTATCTTACTCCTTCTCTGTAACTCATATAGCCATTACTTTTTTTCAAGCCTCAAGTGTCTTCCCACTCTTATTTATCCTTTACACATTTGCCAAAGTAATGTTGCTCAAGCACAGATCTGACCATGTCATTCCCCTTTTCAATAATCTCCAGTGACTTCCTATCACCTCAAGGATAGGAAGGAGCCAGGTACATTCATGTTCACAATTTGTTAAGTCACTCCCCAGTTTATGGGCATCAACTTCTAATTCTTGGCTATCACAAAAAGTGCTTTGGTGTTGAGTGGGATGCCCCTATGAAGACTTCTCAGTGTAATTAAGGTTTGGGATAAGACTATCCTGAATTTGGAGGTAAGTTTAGAAGATGGAAAAGGATAAGTATAGATTTTGGTAGTTCCCTTCTTCTCACAGTCTGACATTAGTAGTTAAAGATTGCCAAGCTTGAAACCCCCCCTGTACCCCCATATTCTGTTGCTACATTCCGGTCACGGTGACCTTCTCACACTAGCGTCTAGCTTGATCACACATTCTAAATTGTTCATTTTTGCAGCAAACTAAGGTGATGGATATGTATATTGTTTCTTTGTTCTCTGTCTCTGGGAATAGATTTTCATGCTTAGATTGTAAGCCAAATATTGGTTAGTTGGTGGTGAAGAGGGTGGGGGTTTTTGGGGTGCTCTTAGATGCACAGAGGCACCCCAAGATTGTGGGAAAAAGCCCAAATCACGGCATGGATCTGCCTTAATGAATTCAACTCAGATCTTCTTCCAGCCAGAGAAAAAGTTTATTAAAGATAACTGAACTGGACGACCAAGAGAAATCAGAGCACAGCACCCGATTGACATGAATTGTGAGCGCATTTATTTGAGCCGGCCGGCGACGGACCCCAGGCATGCATCCCAGGGGCCGCGCCACCGAGGGTTTTATCTGAAATATTTATACTGTCCGGTTACAAAACAGGATCCGGTGGGGTGCCGGGAAGAGAACAGGGTCCGGTGGGGTGCCGGGAAGACAGATCAGGTTATTTACAGAACAGGATGTTGCACCCCACCCTTGAGGATCTCACCCAGGATGTTGCAACAGCCGTTAGGGGAAGCTGAGCCAGAGGCCCCGGGGCGTGGTGCCCCTGGGTCCCTAACGGAGGGTCTATCACATTCCCCCCTTTTCAAGAGCAAGTTATACAGAGGACTCAACAGAGTCCAGGGGCGCTGACTCATCCGAATCCAGGGGTGTATAGGATTTGCGTAGGACAAACAGTTTCAGAGACTGTATACACTGCTGGATGTAGCGGGAGAGACAATTCATGATGCAAGGGGCGACCAATAATCCTAGGAGGAGAAGAACCAAGGGGCCCATTATAGCAGAAAGTAGAGTGGTGAGCCAGGGGGACCAGTTATACAAGTTCTGGTACCAGGAGGAGCCGCGGGCTCGGGCTCGGTCCCTATCATCTAACCGCTGCCTTAATGCCTGCAGGGATTCCCGGATGACACCTGAACGATTGGTATAGAAACAACAGGTCTCTCCCAGGGCCATACACAACCCCCCTTGTTTCAGGAATAACAGGTCAAGGGCGCGGCAGTTCTGGAGCACCATCTCCGCTAGGGAATCCAGGGAAGTCTCCAGGTGGGAGACTAGTCCCTCCAGAGCTCGTAGGTCCTTATCCACCTGGGTACTGAGGGCTGCATAATCTGCCTTTCCCTGCACTAGGGCAGTTGTTCCCACGGCTGCAGACCCGGCCACCCCGAGCCCCACCAGCAAGGGCACTAAGATAGGGGCTGCCCTTCTGGAGCGGGGTAGGCCAAAGTGTTCGGTGGCCCCCTCCTCGGAATACACATACACCTGTGGGAACACCCTAACTATCACACAGATCTCAGTGGGGCTGAGGAAGTGGCGATCTTGTATACAGGTGGTGAGGCCCAGAGTGCAGGTGAACCAAGTCTCGGGTGGGGTGGTTATCAGGAAGCCGGGCCTATTGGACGAGGGTGTGACTAAGATAACAGAAGTGCAGGTTGAATTAAATGGGGAAGCTCTCAACGGGTAGTCAGGTCCAAGCAAGCACGTCCCTGTGCCCTGGACGTCATCCAACGTCAATTTAGGCCCATTTGGGTTACAGCGGGCGGGGATTGCTGTGGAGGAGGGGTTCTGCATGGACAAGTTCCCCAGAAATGAACTGTTTAACTCCAAAGCGACCCCCACAAAGTATGGGGGAGCCGGGTTTAGGCACAGCCAGCAGGCGGTAGTGACATTGGGGTTGGAGGAATTCAAGAATGCATGGACCGCAGTAAGGGTGTCAAGTATGGAGGCCCCAGGGGCACCGGGTGTTTCCAGAGTCGCCAACCCTGGTGTAGCCGAGGGCTCAGCAGATGGAATCAGGTCTATCTTGGCCCGTGGGTTGAGGACAGGGTTGGGGCCTATGGGAAGGGGCTGAACGGGTAGGGCGACCTTTTGTATTGTGAAAAGGACACTGTTGTCCCATCCAGTCATATACAACCTCAACCCCCATGAATGCCCAAGATTCCATGAGTCATCCGTGTACTGTTTGACCGTTAAGATCATGGGGTTGCATTTTCCAGGCCAGCAGGAATACGGGAGAGGTGACTGTCTTTCCAAAGTGATGAGCGGGTCTTTTCCACCCCCAGGAATCCAATCTGCCACTGTCTCACACCCCCACTCTGCGCAGTGGAAACTGCCACCTCCACGGCAAGAGGGGCTTCCGGTAGCAGGACAGGCATAGAACTGGATGCCCCTGATATTATATTCACCTTGTCCTGCTCCATGTTGGGTGGCTGGTATGGGAATAGTAGGGCAGTGCCCGCCGCCTCCCGTCACAGGGTCCTGCAGGTGCCTATCTCTATTCCATCCCGATCCTAAGAGGGCACAGAGGTCACAAAGGTCAGCTTTGTTGCCTCCCTGACCAGGGTCGCG